CCAAAACCACCTCTGCACTCAGCGGGGAATCCACTTGAAGATTCTCTCCCCGTGTGTGCATATGCACACGCACGCGCTCTCTAAAATGAATAAATCTTTAAAATATATATAATATATAGTGAAAGGTTTAACATGCGTGTGGAGTCCTAGAAGGAACAGCAAGAATGGGGAAGAAACTTTTGAAGACATACCAGCTAATGTATTGATAAAAAACATCAAATTCAAGAAGCAATAATGCTTAATATCCAAACAGAATATCCAATAATGCTTAAATAATCCAAACAGAATAATCTAAACAAAAGCCAAACATCTCTACCCTCCTGGGCCTTCTATTCTAGAAAGAGGCAGAGAACCAAATAAAAAAAAAAAAAAATTTAAAAAAAAAAACACTACAAATACTACACAGTATGTTAAAATATAATAAGTGCTCTCTTAAAAAAAATAGAGTTTATATAGCAATGGAGTTCAGAAGGATGGAGGGAAACAGCTGCACTTTTAAACAGGATGTACAAAACCTGGAAGAAAGTAAACAGAAAAACAATTTTCACTAAACACAGATTAAAAAGGAAAAATAAGCCATCCTGAGGGAAACTAAAAAAATATATACATATACATACATATATAAGCATACATACATGCATACATATATTCTCTACATGAGACTGGAAGAAAAGACCAAGTATGCACAATGCGTAATAAGCTATACACATACCAGCAGTTCCACAAAAATTTGTTAAGCACCTGTGATTATCAAACTCCATGCTAGATGCTAGGGATACAGTGAATGTGATATGCTCACTTCATGCAAGAAGCTTATCATATGGAAGAACAAGGAAGTATTAGTTTACATAAGAGAATAATTTATAGAAAGTAGTATCCAAATGTTTCATTACTTCAAAAATACTCAGGAACCAGAACATAATCTTCCCTACAGAAAAAAATATAGAGCAGCACTATCCAACAGACCTTTCTACAATGATGAAAACATTCCACATCTGCAGTGACCAATAGGGCAGCCACTAACCACATGTGGTTACTCAGCACTTAAAATATGGCTAGTGCAAGTAAGGAACACAATTATTCATTTCTCTTATTTCTAATTATTTTAAATCACCACACGCAGCTAGTGGCTACTTAATGGACAGTAGAAGTATAGACTGACAACAAATTTCATTTGGCTCTACACGTTAACATGGGGATCTGGCTACATCATTAAGAGATGATGTAGAGATACGCCATGAAAGTAACTAAAGGGTTGGAAAACCTCCAGCAAAAACCCAAAAATAGAAGTTTTAATGTATTTATATCTTACTTTTTTCAGAAATTACAGCAAGAAAAATCACTTGTCAAATATAGTTTAAAATGCAGATATGTACATTAAACAAAACATTATAAAACAAATTTAATGGGTAAGAAACAAAATTACCTTCCACAGAGGAGAAAGAGTTGAGTAGTACCTTTTAAAAAAAAAAAAAAAAAGATTTATTTATTGCAGAGACAGAAAAGAGCATGCATGAACCAGCAGAAGGGGGAGAGGAAGAGAGAGAAAGAATCCCAAGCAGACCCCACATTGATCACAGAGCCCAATGCAGGGCTGGATCTCATGACAATGAGATCACGACTAGAGCAAAAACCAAGAGTCCAATGATGAACTGCCTACACCACCCAGGCGCCCCACTGAGTACTATCTTAACACTGGTATTTTACGACTCTAAGCAATTTTCTATGGACTTTTGGGTTTAGAATACTATCCAAGAAGTGGGTTATAGAATCCAGAACATGCAGAATTTAGATTGGTATATTAATGATCTATTGCTACATAATAAATTATCCCAAAACTTAGCAGTTAAAAACAATAACACATAGTCTCACGCAGGTCTGAGGGTCAGGAATCTGGGAGTGGCTGAGTGAGGTGGTTCTGGCTTAGGGTCTCATAAGGGTCACAGAGGGCTGAGGGTTTCCCCCAGACTAAGCTTATCCACTTTCAAGATGGCTCATCACATTCCTCGCCACACTGTTCTCTCTGTGCAGATGCTTGAGGGTCCTCATGACATGGCACCTGTGTCAGTTCTCTGCACAGATGCTTGAGTGTCCTCATGACATGGCAGCTGACTGTGTCAGTGATTCAAGAGAGCAAAGAGGGAACTGCACTGTCGTTTAGGACCTAGTCTCACGCACTGTCACTTCTGCCATAATCTAGTATAACAAAAGCAAGTCACTAAATTCAGCCCACACTCAAGGAGAGAGGAATTAACCTTCTCCTCTTGAAGGATGGAGTATCAAATAATTTATGGATACATCTAAAATGACTACAATAGAACATGAGTATTTCCATTCACTTGCAGGTTGCTAGAAATTGTAATGAGATCCTCAGGTCCCTTTCCCTGGAAACCCAACAACAAATTATATCCCTTCTAATATAGCTTTGACTGTTTTCTAAAAAGCAAGAGATGAAACACTACTGGGTTCTTGGTCACTTACAATCCAACCACTTTTTAACAGGTGCTATTAAATAAATGGCACGGAACACCACGCTATACATAGAATGTTATGGATCCTCAAGATAAATTCTGCAAAGTGAGCAGTTTTATCCAACCATTTTCAAGATGAGAAGTAAATCCAGAGATGTAAGCCTCAACCTTGTTCAGGTCTACCTGGGTTCCAAGTTTTTGTTCTTCTGCTATAGGATGCTTCTCTTGGCTCCAGCTACCACAGAGGCTAGTGTCTGTAACATCAAACATACAGCAAGTATCACAAAATACATTACTTCAGCTAAGATTTTCTTCTTTTGTTCCATCAATTACTTTCTTTCTTCAGCCTGTTTTTTGTTTTGTCTGGTGTTTTCTACATGCTGCTCTGAGGCCTCATTTTGCTTCACTTTGTGTCCCATCCTCCCTCTGGGTCCACCTGCAGTGGCAGAGAAACTAGTAACTTGCTGGAACCAAAAACAACAGCCTAACCTTACAAACCCTCACGGAGGGCTGTCTGCACCATAATTCTGCCTCCCCATTCCAAGACCTGCACAGCACTTCACCTGTCCCTGGTCCCCAAACTCTGCCTGGAACAAAGACATCGACCCAGAAAACCTTAAGCCAAATGAGGTAAGGTTCTTCTTTTGCTCGTTCTCCTCCAACAATCCAACTGGACCCTGATGCCTGTCCCTTCAACCCTGTAAATATTTTTCAGTATTTATTCTATCCATCCCCATGAACAATGTCCTAATGCAGGCAATTTTCTCTTTCCCTTGGGCTTATGCATCAGTTTCTTCAAAGTCTCCTGCCTCTAGCCTCACTCTAATTTATCCCCCCATATGGCAGAGAGTTCTAATACCCACAACTTAACTTGCCACTCCCTTGAAAGAACCTTCAATGGCTCCCCATCGACTCTCCTCACAACAGTCAAGAAGGGCCTTGTAAACTGGCTCAAGGTCTTGGATTTTATCCCACTGGTTATAAAAATAGTTTGAATGTCTCCTCTGATCTCCATCTGACCTGGTGTTTGAATGCCTCCTCTATACCAGACACCTCACCTATATTATTTCATTTAATCTTCTTGGAACCCTATAAAATCTGCATATAATCCCTTTGCATATATACTGCTCTAATAAGCCCTCTCATCTGTAAGCCATGAATCTAAAGTCTTTCCTTGCCCACTATCTATTCAACAGATCCAAATTCCCTCTGTGCCAGCACCTTCTTGTCTAGAGCCCTTTACAATTTTACACAGCAATTTCCCTGTTGTGCTTGGAAAAAAAAGGATTATGTCCCATTCACCTCAGCCCCAGCAAAGAACCTATTTCAGAGTAGGTGCTCAGTAAATGGCTGAAAGATGATAATCGACTAAAAGGAAGGTCCACCGTGGTACAGATGTGCTGACGTATTAACTCACAATCCAACCAGGAGTATCATTATCAATTAACGTATCTCCAAAAAACCCCACAGAAGCTACCCTGGGCTTTGACCACTCCTTCAACAGCTCACTGCTTCCACTGTGATCTAAGGGAGCAGAAGTGGTCAGACCAAGGCGGCCCTTTTAAAGATCAAAGGGGGGCAACCTGGGTGGCTCAGCGGTTTAGGCGCCTGCCTTCCCGCCTGGTGTGACCCTGGAGACCCGGGATCGAGTCCTGCGTCGAGGTCTGCGTCCGGCTCCCTGCATGGAGCCTGCTTCTCCCTCTGCCTGTCTCTACCTCTCTCTGTGTCTCTCTGAATAAATAAATAAATCTTTACAAAGGGCCTCTAGAGATTGACCACCTGGACCAATCTGCGTCTAGCTGTGCGTTCTTGCAGGGCTCTCACTACTCTGTGTACACACCCCCCACGAGAAAACTATTCCCCAGCTCCCCAGAGCAGGACTTCCCAGTAAAGAACTTCATTTTCCAACTTCACGTAGCACAAAACCTGGCACGTGGGGAACCATCACTAACTGTGGTAAGAATGCCAGCTAACGTTCAGTGAAGTACTACATACTAAGGATGTAATATGCATTATCTCACTTAATCCTTACAGCAATCCTCGCAGGGAAGTGCCGTGCGACATTATTCCCACCTGAACAGAGGACGTCACGGAGGCCCAGAGACCAGAACACAATCAAACAAGCACTGGCTCAGAGCATCGTATACTTTGTATTTCCACATGCTTTATTTACGTCATTTATCCCTCTGTACAATCCAGCAACGAAAATATGCATTATATTCACATTTTAGACCCCCAAAAAAGGTTAAGGCTTGGAGCAGTCGTCCCGGAGCGCACAGCCTGTAAGGCCAGGCACTGGGCTATGCTGCCCGCCCCCCGCCCGACCCCACCAGGACGCCGCTACGCGACCGCGGGCCGGGTCAGCGCTCCCGGCCGGGCCCACGGCGCGCGCGGGGCCAGCAAACCCGGCGGCAGGTGGAACGTCCCGTCCTGCGCCCGGCCCACACCTGCGCGGGGCGGGGGCAGCCGCGGGGCCCACCGCCGAGCAGGGGCGCCCGCTCCCTGCCTGCCCGCGCCGCCCGCCGTTACCGGTTCCGCTGCTCCTTGAAGAGCGCCGTGAGCGCGCGGAGGGCCTCCAGGTCCTGGATGGGCGCGGGCACCATGACTCCGGACAGCCGGGCGGGCGGCGGCCTGGGCGCCGCCATCTTGCCGCTCGCAGCTCGCAGGGCCGGCGACGCCGAGGAGCAGGAGGAGGCGGAGGGCCGGCGGGAGCGCGGGCGGGGGAGGGGCGCGCCCCGCAGCCGCCGGTCTACGCCGCCGCCGCCGCGCCGCGCCGCTGCAGCCCAGGCCGGGGGGAGAGCGCGCGGACTCGCGCCCAGCCTCCCGCCGGGCGCCGACCGGGACGACGCGGCGCAGGGAGGGGGCGCGGGCGGAAGTCCCGCCTGAGGGGAGGGGGCGCGGGCGGAAGTTCTGCGGAGAGGGGAGGGGCGCCAGGAGGCGGCGGGTCTGAGAGGGCGAGCCGGGGGCCCGGGCTCCCCCAGACGGAGAGAGGCGGGTCGGGGAGGGGGGACCTGGTCGGGAGGGGGTCCAGGGACGGTTGCGCCTTGAGATGCGGGGGTGCGAGGGCTGATGCGACGGGGACAGGAGCGCCCTGAGATGCGGGGGTGCGGGGGCTGATGGGAAGGGGACGGGGACGGGTGCACCGTGAGATGCGGGGGTGCGGGGGCTGATGGGAAGGGGACGGGGACGGGTGCACCGTGAGGTGCGGGGGTGCGGGGGCTGATGGGAAGGGGACGGGGACGGGTGCACCCTGAGATGCGGGGGTGCGCGGGCTGATGGGAAGGGGACGGGGACGGGTGCACCGTGAGGTGCGGGGGTGCGGGGGCTGATGGGAAGGGGACGGGTGCACCCTGAGGGAGATGCAGGGGGGGCTCCTTCCGGGAAGGGGTACAGGGACAGGTGCACCCTGAGGGAGATGCAGGTGGGCGGGGGCTCCTGTCCAGGAAGGGATACAGGGACAGGTGCACCCCGAGGCAGATGTAGGTGGGGGGGGAGCTCCTGTCCAGGAAAGGGTACAAGGACAGGTGCACCCTGAGGGACATGGAGGTGGGGGGGCCTCTTGCCCGGGAAGGGGTACAGGGACAGGTGCACCCTGAGGAGACACGGGTGTGGGGGTGGCTAGTGGGAGGCGGACAGGTGCACCCTGAGATGTGGGTGTGTGGGGGCTGATGGGATACAGAGACAGGTGCACCCTGAGGGAGATGCTGGTGGGGGGGGGGGCTCCTGTCCGGGAAGGGGTACAGGGACAGGTGAGGGCAGAGGGGCCTGTGAGAGAGGGGCTCTTTTTAAGGAGAAGGTGCTGTTGAAATGAGTTGATTGGTGCCCCCACCCCTGGAAAGTGGAGCAGCCTGTCCTCAGAGTGCAGGTCTCAGGCTGCACTGAGCTCAGTTCCCAGTACTCCCCGATCATTTACTGGTGATACCAGATGGTTTACGAGGCACCTTAGGTAGGATGAGAATACTCTGCTCCAGCTCATCCAGGGCTTAAATAGAAGTAGCTGAGTTCTATAGTAGGAGGGTAAGAATTGTTTTTTTTCTAAGGGAAATGAATGTATTTTCCAAGACTCAGACAAGGTTCTGTGGCTGGTTGTTGGTGATTCATGTATTGTCTTTCCACTACCCTTTATCCTACCACGTGTACTTTCAACATTGTCACCAAGCCCTGTGCTAGGTGAAGGGACCCCAACCCTGAAAGGAACTCAAGACAAAAGAGGCAAATGGTAACTGCTACGACAGAAGACGGTACAAATTTCCATAGGATATTTTGATTTGAAGAGTAGGAGTGTGTTTATAATGTGGCACTTTTGGTTTTCTTTGCCAAGTAAAATTTAAAGACACAATAAACACCACCAGAGTGTGCAAAGGAAATGAATCATGCGCAGGCAATTTATGTGATAACGTAATTCATCCTTACCCATTCAGCTGACTGCACATTCATTTCAGAAATATTTCTGTGTGCCGATTATGTGCCAGGCTTTAGATCACCTAGCAGTGCAAAAGACAATTCAAAACGGTAAATAACTAGCAGAGCAAAATCACCCAATATTTCCTTGAGGAGCAGGGGATAGTAAGATGTATTGTCCTGCATCAAGGTCTCGCCCCTTAGTTTTCTATCCTCAGGTGTAAAACAAAAGTAACTAATTCTTACAGAAAAAGTTCCCCATAATACTCAAATGTATTGCCTGGAATGTTGAGATATCCTGGTTGGTTCCTTGGCTACTTCTCTTGCCTTCCTATTTTCTAAATCTTTTAAAAGTATAAGTCAACATTTCACTCTGCTCAAAACCCTCTAAAGGATTTCCATTTCACTCAAAAGCCAAATTTCTTCCAATGCAGAAGTCCCTGAGGACTTCCCATGTGTCCCTCCTCCTGCCTGCCCCTGATCACTTCTAGTCTCTTCCTCCTGCACAGCGCTCCACCCACACCGGCCTCCTTGTCGTCCTCCACCCAGGGAAGGATGCTCCTGCCTCAGAACTCCACACATGCTATTTCTTTTGCGTGGAATACTTTCCACACCCTCCCAGCAGTTACCGGCATGGTTTGCTTCCTCCAACTATCTACTGAAGTGATCTCTTAATGAGCTTCCCCTTGTTGATTTTTGAAATTGTAACACACCACCAAAATTCCTAATTCTAAGGAATTGTTCTTGGGACACCTGGGTGGCTCAGCAGTTGAGTGTCTACACCGTTAGCTCAGGGCGTGATCCTGGAGTCCTGGGACTCTGGATCTCAGGGTTGTGAGTTCCAGCTGTGTTGGGTGCAGGGATTACTTAAAAATAAAATCTTACGGCCGCCTGGGTGGCTCAGCAGTTGAGCGCCCGCCTTCGGCTTGGGGCGTGATCCCAGGATCCGGGATTGAGTCCCCCATCGGGCTTCCCACAGGGAGCCTGTTTCTCCCTCCTTCTCCCTTCTCCCTCTACCTCTCTTTCTGTGTCTCTTATAAATAAATAAATACAATCTTTTAAAAAAAAAGGAATTGTTCTCCATAGCACTTAATACTTTCTATATCATAGTTTACTAATCTATTTTGTTTACTGCCATAATGTATTCCAGCACCTAGGAAAGGACCTGCCACATGGTAATTTCTCAATAAATATCAGTTGAATTAATCAACAATGAATTTTTAGAGTTGTTTTCAGAAAGGAGAAAATATAGCATGACTCCAGCAAAAAAAAAAAAAAAAAAAAAAAAAAAAAAAAAAAAAGGTATACCAATCCAAAAAGTACAGGAAAGAGGAAAGATGGAGGAGAGGAAGAAAAAAATAAGAAGATTAAGAGAGAGAGATACTTTAACAGGCCAGTCTAGTAGTATGGGCAAGGATGAGAACAGAAGGAGATTAACAGAAGGAGATTGGCCAAACAGTGGGTGTTATTGATTGCCTAGGATCAACTATGGGTTGACAACCTTGCCTGGATTGACAGTATAAGTTAATATTTCATTTGGGTGAAATGGCATTTTTGTCTTTTTTTTTTTCAGCTTCAATCCAAGTATGCTTTTTTCCTTTTCTCTTTTTTTTCTTTCATTAAGTGCTTTTATTTTAATTCCAGTATAGATAACATACAGTGTAACATTAGTTTCAGGCATACAATACAGTGATTTGACAATTCCATACATTGCTGAGGACTCATCATGATAAATGTACTCTTTAATCCCTATCACCTATTTCTCTAGCTCCATCCATATTGTTGCAAATGGCAAGATTTCACTCTTTTTATGGCCAAATAATATTCCATTCTATATATCACATCTTCTTTATCCATTCATCTATCAATGAGTACTTAGGCTCTTTCCATGATTTAGCTATTATAATACATGCAATAAACATCAGAGTGCACGTATCCCCCTTGAATTAGTGTTTTTGTGTTGGGGGGAAGGGGGAGAAATACCCAGTAATGCAATTCCTGGATTGTAGGGTAGTTCTATTTTTAATTTTTTGAGGAACCTCCATACTCTTTCCAGAGTGGCTACACCAGCTTGCATTCCCACCAACAGTGCACAAGTGTTCGTTTTCTCCACATCCTTGCCAACACCTGTTGCTTCTTAGTTTTTTATTTTCGCCATTGTAGCAGGTGTGAGGTGATATCTCATTATAGTTTTGATTTGCATTTCCCTGTTGATAAGGGATGTGGGGCATCCTTTCATGTCTCTTTGGCCATCTGGGTGTCTTCTTCAGAGAAATGTCTATTCATATCTTCTACATATTTTTTAATTGGGTTATTTATTTTGGGGATGTTGAGTTATACACATTCTTTATATATTTTGGATACTAATCCTTTATTGGATATGTCTTCTGAAAATACATTCTTCCACTCAACAGGTTGTCTTTTAGTTTTGCTGGTTGTTTCCTTTGCTGTGCAGAAGCTTTTTTTTTAAGATTTTATTTATTCATGAGAGACACAGAGAGAGAGGGGCAGAGACACAGGCAGAGGGAGAAGCAGGCTCCATACAGGGAGCCAGACAAGGGACTCAATCCAGGGTCTCCAGGATCACGCCCTGGGCCGAAGGCGACGCCAAACCACTGAGCCACCCGGGCTACCCAAGTGCAGAAGCTTTTGATTTTGCAGTAGTCCCAATAGGTTATTTTTGCTTTTATTTCCCTTGCTTCAGGCGACATATCTAGAAAAATGTTACTATGGCCGATGTCAGAGGCATTACTGCCTGTCATCTCTTCCAGGATTTTTTTTTATGGTTTCAGGTCTCACATTTAGGTCTTTAATCCATTTTGAGTTTATTTTTATGTATGGTGTAAAAAAGTGGTCCAGTTCCATTCTTTTGAATGTAGCCGTCCGACACTGTCTTTTGAAGAGACAGTCATTTTCCCATTGCATGTTCTTGACCTCTTTGTCATATATTAATTGATCTGTAATTATGGATTTGTCTCTGAGTTTTCTATCCTATTCCATTTATCTTTGTGTCTATTTTTTTGTGCCAGTACCATACTGTTTTGATTACTACTGCTTTGTAATATAGCTTAAAAATCTGAAATTGTGCCTCCAGCTTTGTTTTGCTTTTTCAAAGTGGGTTTGGCTATTTGGGGTCTTTTGTGTTTCCATACAAATTTTAGAAGTGTTTGTTGTAGTTCTGTGGAAAATGCTGTTGGTACTTTGATAGGGATTGCATTAAATCTAAATGACATTTTTTTAATTTTACATAAATGTTGTTTGCCTCAGATAATGTGTCAAGTATGTTGATGTACATGAATCAAACTTCAATTAAAGTTTGCAGTATAAATGTGTGCTCTTAAGCCAAGTGCACAACAAGATCAGTAATCAAGAAGTAAAAATAAGGGGTGCCTGAGTGGCTCAGTGGTTGAGCATCTGCCTTCAATTCAGGACATGATCCTGTAGTC